CTTCGATCACCTGCTTCCACACTCATCCACAAACAACATCCTTTATTTCGACACATACGCACAGCACGATCACGCAGAGTCATGCGCTCAACGGCAGCACATTTACATCAGTCAGACGGTGCACACAGTCGTATAGGATACACACACTTAAGCCAAGTGTACTCATATTAGTAAATATGCACACACATAGTCAGACTCAGGGAGCATCTCGCCACACATTTTTTTTCTCTCTCTCCTTCTCTTTATTTATGAACAAGTGATGTATTCTCTCCACCTGTCTAACTGGTTAAAAATATTATATAATTCCCCAACAACTTGTGTCAAAACAAATGACCAGACATCCTCCAGCTTCTGTCTCCTGAGGGGCACCAGGCAGGGATGCCCACTCTCCCCTTCACTGTTTGCAATTTTTATTGAACCACTAGCAGCAGCAATTAGACAGAATTCAGTAATTAAGGGCATAAAATGCAAGAACGTGGAACATAAAATCAGCCTTTATGTGGATGATGTGTTACTTTTTCTCCAAAACTCACAAACCAATCTCTCTGGGGTGACTGAATTGATAAACTCTTTTGCAAGAATATCAGATTACTCAATTAACTGGTCAAAATCTACTGTCATTCCGATTAATTGCTCCTTCCATAATTCCTCTTCTACTCCACTGCAATAGGGAAATATAAAATATTTAGGTATTAATGTTTCTCCCAAGCTTGCAGATCTAACTAAATTAAACCACATCCCACTTTTAAAGAAGGTAGAAGGCGATCCGGCTAGATGGAAATGTCTACCCATATCACTCATGGGAAGGGTTGCCGCTATAAAAATGATGGTCTTACCAAAAATAAATTATTTATTCTCAATAATCCCAACTAAACCGCCACAAGATTGGTTCAGATCTCTAGATTCATATATGTCCAAATTCCTTTGGAAAAATAAACCCTCACGTATCAGCTTAAAAACACTACAAAAGACCAAGGATAAAGGAGGATTAGAACTATCTAACTTTCAGCACTACTTCTTAGCCAACAGGCTTCAATTTATCTTAGGATGGCTAAAACATACCCTCTTAGATGAACCTTGGCTAGATGTAGAACAAGCACTTTGCAATAATCTAGAGATTTCAGATCTACCATTTATCAGCTCAAACATCCAATGACATGAATGCTTCCAAAGCATCAACATCAGCTCTTCTCTGACAGCGTGGTGGGAGTTTCTGAAGTTGACGGAGTCTTCATTAATCCCATGCAAATGTACATCTATCTGGAACAACCCTGACATATTACAAAACAATAATATGATAAACTTTCCAGATTGGAGTGGTAAAGGAATCAAATATTTAGAACATATATTAGAAGAAACAGAATGTATTTCATTTGACAGACTAGTTACACAATATGGG